CAAAGCCTGTGCTCATGCCACTGCCTTGTGCCATGGGACAGGGAGACATCGGCTGCCCTGCCCAATTCCCCCATGTCCAGCAGTGGGGGCCAAGGCAGGTAGCCCAGCTCTGCCCTGGCAGGCTTCCTTGTCTCTGGGGCTGGGTCAGGCTGAGGAAGGGAGAAAGCTCACTAGGAAGTGGCTTGCGCTTGGGTGCAACACAGAGGAACGGTGCCAAGTGGCCTGAGGCGCCAGTAGCTCTATGAGCACAGCCTGGCCTGAGGCCATTATCTGACCAGCAGAGCCATTCAGTTAGCATTGATTGGCTTAGAGAGGAGCATCTGGCAAGTCTGGGGCAGAGGGGAGCTCTGCCCTGCTCAGGGGGAGGGCAGGCTGCAGAGCCAGAATTGACCACATGGCTGACCAGTCTCCAAGCCTCAGGGAGCCCCACAGACCTTCCCAGGGGCCCATGGGGATGCCAGTCCATCAGGCTGTCCCTGTGCAGATGTAGGGAGGGGGACCCCCTTTAGGGACTACCTGATGTCAAGACTCAGGTCCAGATGAGGCCCGAGACCTTGGGGCCAGGGAGGGTTGACCAGCCTCAGATGAGGCTGCTCCACTGCCTGGCTCCCCAGCTGCGCGGCCTTGGCCAACCACTTCCCTCTGTGTGCCTTGTGTCCTACTCCATCAAATGATATGGCACCCATGGCGGGTGGGGATGGTGTAAGGATTCCATGTAAAGAAACTAGCACAGACTGAGGGCTTGGTTCTCCTTGCTCAGCTCCCTTCCAGCTGCCAGGGGTGAGGAAGGTGTAGGGCCCCTTCCACATTGGCACTCTACCCTGGGACTGGGCAAGGGCCCTGTCAGTGCTGGTGGCAGTGAGGAGCTTTCTGGTCTTGCCAGCCCTGGGTTCTCCCTGCCCAACTGAGCTGGTATTGTATAGCCTCTTTGAGATCTCTGGCTACTTAGAGGCTGAGAGAGGGGCTGGGTTAAGATGAGGGCCTGCCATCTGCTTTCCCACCTTAGTACCTTTGCACATCCTGTGCTCACTACCTTGAATGCTCTTCCCACCCATCCTGCCAGGTTCAGCCCCCATGGGACTATTCAGAAACACATCTAATAAGTGGGCTGCTGAGTGGACTGGTCAGGTGCCTGCCCATGCTCAGGTCACTTACCCCTGCCCCCACAGGTCCCTGCCCAGCAGATGAGGAGTTTGGGGTTTGCAGGAAGGAGGACATGAAAACAATACTGGCTCTCCATTTCTGCACATCCTCTGTGCTGGCAGGGGAGCAGAGGGCTTCATGGAGGAGGTGGCATGGGGCAGCAGGAGCCTTACCCCCTTCCCCCACCCCCACCCCCAGATGCCTACTTTGGGCCCAGCACCTGCCCAGACTGTGTAGTATTATGAGACATCCACCCCATCCTGCCAATCTGCTAGTCCATAAGGATCCTCCCAGTTCATCCTGGGCCCCTCCCTACCCTGGGACCCCGGACACTCCAGGACTCTGGCAGCAAATGTTGGATGGAGGAAGAATGAATGAGGCTGCAGAGACACAGGGGAACTCAGATGTGTGTGAGGCCGAGAAGTTCGAGAGTAGCCAAGCAGAGCAGTTAGTCTGGTGCATGCCCCTGGAGGAGGAGGAGGAGGAGGAGGAGGAGGAAGGCAAGGTCTGCGCATAAACAGGCCTTGGGATCTCAGCCAGCAGGATCCTGAGGGCCTCAAGGGGGAGGAGGAGGGGGAGGAGGAAGGAGAGCCTGAGGAAGATCAGAGAGTGACAGAGACCCAGCCTTGCTTTCTTCAGCCCCCTCAGTCAGAGCAACCCCTGCCCTACCCAGGAGGGGGCCAAGGAGACTGATGGGAGGTGGTGCAAGGCTCCTACATGGAGACTTGGATCCCTGCTAACTTGCAATCTTAAAATGCATAGCAAAGGCACCAACCTCCTTGTTAGTGCATTAATAAGCAATCAGTGGGTCGGGGTTCCCATGGGCCTCATGGAGGGAGCACATGAGAAGGCTTGGCAATGCAGTGCCAGCCTCCCTGGGAAGGAACCGGGCAGGGCGACAGTCCAGGGCCAGAGCACCCGCTAGCTCAGGCAGGGGGTGCCAGAGGCAGGTGGGGTTGGCTGGGAGGGTGGATCCAGGGCTTTGGAGATGGGACCAGCTTCCAGGGTGAAGAAGCAGACTCAGCTGAGACCCACCCCCAGTGCCCAGTGGGAGGGGGCAGCTTCCCTGGCATGGGTCCCCTGTCATCTAGGCAGTACCGAAGGATGGAAAGCAGCTCCAAGCATTGGCTGGGCTCCTGCCCTGGGTCCTGCCTTCACCCCAGGCCCTACTTTCTGACCCCTCCCACCTGCCAAAATGTGTTAACTTGCCAGCTGCTAAGCTCACAGCTAGATTTTTGGGCAGTCGGCTTTTTCACCCAAACTGAGATCTTCACCTGGTTTCCCCAGTGCCCCAACATCCCCTGGGAGCACCTGTTTAAGGGAGAGATGTGGCTCTCCTTGGGCCCCCCCAGCTTCTCTAGGGATCATTTCAGAGAAACTCATCCTGGAGCCCTAAGGAGACAGAGCCACAATTACAGGCAGAAGTGCTGTCTGTCCCCATCCTAGGTCAGGGAGCAGGAGAACCTCTCTCCCTCCCACCAATAGGGTAGTTCTGAGGATCAGGGGAGTGAGAACAGAAGCACTTTGTCAACTCCATAAACTGTACAAATGTCAAGTGGTATTAGTGCTGAGCCTGCCCCAGCTCATCCCGCCCCACTTCACATGAGCCGTGAGCAGCTCTCTGCTGCCAGACTTAAGGGAAGGAAATACCTTTGTCTTTGTAGGACCCTAGAGGTAGGGTGGTTGGTATGGCACTATGTATCCCACAGGTACAGTTTATGGCCATGGCCCTGTCCCGTCAGTACAGTGAGAATCACAAACTCCCTTGAGCAAGGAGGGGACCCTGGGCTCCCTCAGAGTGGCAGGAGGACCCCTCCCTGGGGCAGGGTTCCCGGAAGACAGCAGCATGGGCAGGGGTGAGGAGCAGAGCTGAATGGGGAAAGGGAGTGTCAGGCTCTAGAAGGTGCAGCCAGTGTGGGCTGGGCCCTCTTCCCAGGCCTAAGTGTTGGAGGCTCAAGGCAGTGGGCAGCCTCCCCAAGAGTCAGCTGGGGTTTGGGGTCCAGGCTCCCATCCTGTTACATTCCTGCCATCCCTGTAGGGCTGGGGTCCCCTGGCCAGACTGAGGTGGGCAGAGGGGAGCTGGAGGACAGACCCAAGCCTCCACATGGGAAGAAGGAGTGGCATGGCGACCATCTCCTACTCATGTTACAGAGGGGGAACAGGCTGAGGAGGCACCAGCCTTGGGCCTGGCCTGCAGGCTGCAGGCCATCCAGCGGTCACGATGACCAAAGGTACTACAGGGGCTGAATAGAACATGACCTGGCCCAGAAAGGGTCCCCAGAGCTGCACTGCCACCACCACCACCACCACCACCACCACCAAGGTCACAGTTGCTCCAAAATCGCAACTGAACCCAATTATGCAAAAACCAAATTATGTATGATGCTTTTTATGTGTTGGAAACATTAGGTCGAATCCGGGTGATTACAGGAGGATGAAAAGCAGCTGCCACTCTCTGGGAGCCCATAACTCCCAGTAGCTGGGAGCTGTCATTTATTTACGATGTCATTTCTACCAGAATTGAGGGGGTAGCAGTGGTGGGGAGGCCCACCTAATCCTGGGCAGGCAGCTGGGGCAGCAGCAGGTCTGGGGGCCTGGCTGGGCCGCGGAAGTGAGGCTGGGAGTAGGGCTGGCGGGAGAGGCTGAAAGGGTTTGTTCTCATCCTGCACACTCTGGGCACAGCTGGAAGGACTGGCCGAGCTGTCCCAGGCCCCCGGCTCTCCTGAGAGGCCCAGCTGGCCATGCTGGAAGGGAATGGCAGAAGGCCAGCTCGGGCAGTGACGAGCCTGGAGCCTGTCCCCCCAACACTGGCGCGCCTGCTGGGCCACGAGGGGCAGCCGCGACCCTGGAAAAAGGCAGGTAATGACTATCGTCCATAATGAGGCTGCTCCGATAATGAGCACGGGGCTATTATCCGACCACAGGCTGGACACATCCGAAAATAAATTATTTTAAGGATCCATTAACGAATGCCTAATTAATGCCCAATTAGAGGGAAACGACAGAGGAAACGCTCCGGACAGTCACGAGGCAAGGCCTGCTTTGCCGCCGCAGCCTGGGAGCCAGAGCGTGGTAGGGAGAGGGGAGGGGCCAGAGGTGGACCTGAATGGTGGGCAGACAACACCTCGCAGCTTCATGGACCCCAGAGCTCATCAGCCCTGGTGCCTCCCCCAGCCCTTCTAACACCTGTGCCCTCTCAGTACATCCTCATAGCTCAGCGAGGGACAACTATTACTATTTAGAAATGAGGAAACAGGCACGAGGGGTGTCACACGTTAGAGGACATGAGAGGCACTGTAAATGAGACATCTTTTGAGATGAACTTTGGTGTCACGCATGCATGCTTCACTTGTTTTGGGGAATAATTTCAATAAAGAGACTCCTCAGGACTCCATATGAGATACTTATTTGGTTAGGAGTCTGCACTGCTGTCTGTTCACACGGATAACTGTGAGTAAGTGGCAGAGCTGAGACAGGAACCAGAGCTGGCTGACCCCCGACCCCAGCAGGGCTGACAGAGCCTGAGGGGGTGGGGGTAGGGGATTGGAGGCTGGGCGTATGTAGGGGAATCAGAGCCTTCGCTCCAACCTTACCTCACATCTCAGACTGGGGATAGAACCCCCAGTAGAGGTGGGACAAGGCGTGGGGAGCTAGATGGGGTCCTGGCTTAGGTCTAACCCCTGCCTTCCTCTCATCAGAAACCAGTCTCTCAGAGGACCACTGTCCCAGACAACTGAACGCAGCAGACAGGACAGAGCGCCAACTGGGCAAGAAGGGTCACATGTCCGGCCCCGCCCCCTCCTACCTCCAGCTTCCCGGCAAGCAAGCTCTGACCTGGCTGTGCTCTCTCCCCACAGGGTGCTGTGTGGAATTGCTGCTGCTGCTCATGGCCGGGGAGCTGCCCCTGGGAAGCGGCTGCCCGCGGGACTGCGTGTGTTATCCGGCACCCATGACAGTCAGCTGCCAGGCTCACAACTTTGCCGCCATCCCCGAGGGCATCCCGGAGGACAGCGAGCGTATCTTCCTGCAAAACAACCGCATAACTCTCCTCCAGCAGGGCCACTTCAGCCCCGCTATGGTCACCCTGTGGATCTACTCCAACAACATCACCTTTATCGACCCCAACACTTTCGAGGGCTTCGTGCACTTGGAGGAGCTGGACCTTGGTGACAACCGGCAGCTGCGGACGCTAGCACCTGAGACCTTCCAAGGCCTGGTGAAGCTCCACGCCCTCTACCTCTACAAGTGCGGGCTCAGTGCCCTGCCTGAGGGCATCTTCAGCGGCCTGCACAGCCTGCAGTACCTCTACCTACAGGACAACCACATCGAATACCTGCAGGACGACATCTTTGTGGACCTGGTCAACCTCAGCCACCTGTTTCTCCATGGCAACAAGTTGTGGAGCCTGGGCCAGGACACCTTCCGGGGGCTGGTGAACCTGGACCGGCTGCTGCTACATGAGAACCAGCTGCAGTGGGTCCACCACAGGGCTTTCCACGACCTCCGCCGGCTCACCACCCTCTTCCTCTTCAACAACAGCCTCTCCGAGCTTCAGGGCGACTGCCTGGCACCCCTGGGGGCCCTGGAATTCCTCCGCCTCAACGGGAATGCCTGGGATTGTGGCTGCAGGGCACGCTCCCTGTGGGAATGGCTTCGGAGGTTCCGTGGCTCCAGCTCTGCTGTCCCCTGCGTGTCGCCCCGGCCACGGCAGGGGCAGGACCTGAAGCTGCTGAGTGCCGAGGACTTCCGGAACTGCACGGGGCCAGCATCCCCGCACCAGATCAAGTCACACACGCTCACCACCACCGACAGGGCCGCCCGCAAGGAACACCACCCACCCCGTGGCTCCGCCAGGGACAAGGGCCACCCACATGGCCATCTGCCTGGCTCCCGGACAGGCTACAGGAAGCCAGGCAAGAACTGCACCAGCCACAGGAATCGCAATCAGGTCTCGAAGGTGGGCGCTGGGAAACAGGCCCATGAGCTGCAGGACTACGCCCCGGACTACCAGCACAAGTTCAGCTTTGACATCATGCCCACCGCTCGCCCGAAGAGGAAGGGCAAGTGTGCCCGCAGGACCCCCATTCGTGCCCCTAGTGGGGTGCAGCAGGCCTCCTCGGGCAGTTCTCTGGGAGCCTCAATCCTGGCCTGGATACTGGGGCTGGCGGTCACTCTCCGCTGAGGGCCCAGGGCACCAGCACCCAGCACTGCCACATGTCCACCAAGGAACAGAATTTCTTTTCTTTTTTTTATAAGTGGAGGATCTGCTGGGGTTCAGGCAGAGGCTGATAAAGGTTTCGGCTGCTGTCTGGGCCATGCCCCGTAAATTATAAACCCAAAGTGTACAGACCCAAGCTGGAGGGGATTAGCACACCTCACCCAGCTGTCCCAGCCAGCCCCTTCCCAGCAGCCACGGACAGCATCCACCCAGCCAGGCGGTTAACGTGCTCAAAGCGAATCCTTCATTAGCAACAATTGAACAGTGCCCCATGGGAGCTTGGCTCTGTGAAATCCTAGTCATTTGGAGAGGTCTGAAGGCCCCCTGCCATTCTTGGAGGAAGCAGGACTCAGAGGAACAGATGAGGCTCACCCAAGAGTCTGGGATGACCAGCCATCTTGGAGCACATGTGCAGGTGGCATGTTGGCTCTTGCCTGACGCCACTTCGTCAACTTGCCCTGAATCTAACAGTGTGCCACCTTCAGCCCCTCCCTCGGAGGTGATGCCTCTCATTCCTGATGTCTCAGGAAACCCTGGCAGACCCAGCCCAGACCTTGGGCTCCATGAACCAACTACCAAAGGAAAGATCATCAGAGGCTGAAATTCAGAACTTCATCATGTATAATGAGGTTCTCACAGGAGGTGCAGTTTTATAACTATGTCCACTTATATATACACACTTTACATACATATATAGAGAGAGAGACACACAAAGGCACAGGTCCCCCACCCCACTCCCTTACCAAACTGTATGTCTTATGTTTATAAACTATATGGAAAACTATATCTGCTGAACTAAGGATTGTATTGGTGATTTCTAGCAAGAAAAGAGTTATAGGATTTTTATCCCTGCAACAACAGTCCCCATGTAACTTGGGCTTGCCAGGTGCCTGAGGTATATGGTCAGTGAGGAAGGTCATGGAAAAAGGGGGGCAGCAAGAATCACTTCAGGGGACCAATATACTTAGATATTTAGAGCATCACCTTGTTTTTATATGCAACACAAACCCATCTGCTGCCCCAAAGTACCATCGCCCCCACTATAGTAGCTGTTTGTATCAGGGTGAGAAGCAAGAAGCAGCTTGTCGGACATCAGGGAGCCAGATCCTGGGGACTGGATGGGCAGAGAAGTAGAAGGAAGGAGCTTTGGGTTTCTTAGGCCATTGGGTGAGGCAGCCTTCACAGTGTTAGTTCAACAGTGTCGTCAGCCTAGCATGTTGCCAGCGATAGTCTGGACAGGCCAGGGAGACTCTGGGCACGAGCTCATGCCTCCAGTACGGCTCAGTTGCTGAATTTTTCCTTGAAGCTCTTTGATGGGTGTCCTAGCACGGGCCCTCTGTAGGGTGGCAGGAGGGAAAGCATCAGGTAGCTTTAGCAGAAGGGTAACAGTGAGGGCATTTCAAGAACCATCTCAGGCACTTCTGCATTACAGAGGCCCCATCCTTCCTGACCCTTCTGAGGATGCCCAGGGATGGGCAGATGTCGGGGGGCCAGACTCAGGGGTCGGGAGCAGGGATGTGCAGGGAATGGAGCAGGCAAGCCCAGACAGGAGACAGGGGCTCTGGTCAAGTTTGGCCATGCTGCTGGCTGGGGCCCGGGTGGGCACAATCTCCTTTGCGCTTTGCACAAACCTGAATTTCCCACCAGAGAGGATGTGTGTGAGGAGCAAGAAACACTGAATCTAATTAAGAGAGGGAAATAACAATAAAAAAATTTTTCTCTTGGACAAGAACCCTGTTTCTCATTTCCTAACCCTGCATTCCTGAAGGGGTGGCAGATCCCAGGCTTTTGTGGGGTGGGCGAGCCTGGCCAGGCACAGCTCTGAGAACACAGCATGTTTGTTGGCAGGATGAGCCTTATGGGGCAGAGGCATGCTGACTCACTGGGATGCATGTGCACATGCGTACAGACACACACACACACACACACACACACACTTGTTCTCTGTTCCATGGTTCTTCCCTCGCCTGCACAGAACATGACTCACTTCCCACACTCTGGCTGCGCTGGGTCGGCACCATCCCTGTGGCTCTCCCCAGAGCAGGCTAGCTGGATCCTTCCCTGTCTGTTCCCAGGGCCTCACCAATAGCTGCTGAGCTTTTGATTTTTAGGGGGCTTCGGGGTGGCTGGAAAGGACCTGTTAGTTCCTTGGGCCCAGAGGAGTTTCCAGGAGTCCAGGGACCGATTCAGACAGCAATAAATGGGATCTGGAGACTGTACCTACCTCTCCAGCCTCATAAAAAGGAAAGAGTTCCCAGATGAAGGGAGGAGGGCTATGTTTTCCGGTATGGACAGCTCCTCCTCTGTACAAGGCTTGAAATGGGCACTAAAGGGAATCTGGTGAGGGTAGAACAAATCATCTTTGGCCTGCAGTCGCTCCCTGATGGTCCACCTGCTCTTACCCAGGCCAGTGCCAGGGCTGGCTGTCCCTTAGAGCCCAAGGATGTTGTTGGGTTGTTGATTTCATTTCCAACTTTAGACAGCAAAGCCCTCAGTGGGAAAATTAAGAGTCCAAGCACTTTATTAAATTTTTTTAAAAACACTTAGTAAGTCCTGTAATATGGAAGTGAAATGTCGGAACGAGAAATGCTAATGTTTTATAAATGATCCTCTTCTGTCAAGTGCAGAGGAGTCTCTGGTTGCTGACAGTTATTAGAGGCAAGGCAGAGGGGCCCAGGACGCCAAGTTTATTTTTAGCAGCTTTCTTTAAGAGGTAGAGGGGTGAAAAAGCAGTTCTCCTGTGGATGACATCACTTGTCACTCAGTAGCTCACCACATACTACCATTACAATGACACCATTGCCCAAAACGTCAGAGCAAGTTGACAAGTCAGGGGGTAAGGGGAGGCACCTTTATTCACCTCCTGGGTGGTTCAGGGCAGGGAGGTGTGGGTTTCTGCCCCCGAAATCCTGCTGTCCTTGTAGGGGCTGAGGCCATTCCTTTGCTCCTGACGGGGCCAGTCCTTTTGCCATCTTCAGTCAGCACTTTCCCCAGGGAGGGAGGCATCACCTCTTCTGCCTCTCTCCCCTCTGGCCACACAGCCCTCCACTCTAGGAGGCCTACGAGGGGTGCTTGGTGGCCACTGGTGGTCTGAGTCCCTACAAGTTCTTGCCATGATTCCAGAACTTGGCTGGTTCCCTACCCTTCATTCGACAATTGCTGATCAAGGGCCTATGTGTGCCAGCCACTGGTCCAGGCTCTGGGGACATATAAATGAGAAGACATGGCTCTCCTTAAGGAGCTCAGAACCTAAATGTGGAAACAAGGATGGGATTGGTGAAACTAGAGTGGAATTGGTGTCTCTGTTAGGACTCACCCCACCCCCCACAGTGAGACACTCACCTGGGGGGAGGGCAGTCAGGGAGGGCGTCCATCGGGGGATGCTAGTCCATGGCTCTCAGAGAATGAGGTGGCCAGAGAAGAGTGTTGGGAGCATCCCAGGCAGAGGGCTGGAGGCATACAATAGCATCGCCTTTGAGGTATCGGCAAAGAGCTGTGAGTTGAGGGCTGGGAATGCCATTTGTGGAGGCGTAGGGAGAGAGTCTGGCAAGGGGAGGGCTCAGGGATCCTTCTGAGGGACTTGGATTCTACTTCAAAAGAGGAGATATGCCCCCCACACTTGGGGTCCTCTGCCCTACCCCGCACCCTGAGAACCCCTCCAAGCACGTGGTCCCTGCCAGTTGCCAATGTTCCTCAACAGTGGGTTTCATCATCGCAACTTGCCGCTTCTGCTCAGCCAGACCCTTTCCTCGTGCCAGCAAGCTGGCGCACTCTCTGGGCCAGAGTCCCATTCCCAGACACCTGCTGCTTCCAAGCTCAGAATATATCCCATAGCCGTTTTGTTTCCTGCGCTCCCTCCTTTTCCATCCGCACAGGGCTCAGCCCTCAGCCCATCTCCTTGCTTCCAAGCACAACTGCCCAGACACCCCCTCAGCGACCTCTACATGTGCCAGCTCTGGCTATCAGTGATCCCCAGAACCCCTCAAACTGCATCTCGCCCTTTTTCTCTCCTGCTAGGGCTGTTTATTACCAGGGAGCCAAGAATCCCATTTAGTAAATGTTTACTCATCACCTAACTAATCACCCAGCACTCTGCCACCATGATGAATTGGGTTCCAGAAGGCCTGTTGGCAGGCGGGAGCGGGGCAGGAAGGTTTCTTGGAGGACAAGCTACAGGCCCCAGTGTCAGAGAGAACGATTTGCTAGGAGGGCTCCCTGGAGTTGGCTGGGAGCCTTGGTGCCTCAGAAGCTCCCAGCAAATCCTTCCTGGTATTGTCACCATCCCCCCAGGCTCTCCCCACCTCTGGGACCCAGCTTCTCGTGCCCTTATTTGACACTGACCTAGAGGACACCAGCCTTTCTCTGTGCACATTCTTTGATTGACCAGGAGCGAGTGTCGCTCTGACAGGGTTCCAGCCAACGTCCACTGTTGAGCCTCCTGACCTGGCCGTGGTTGCCTTTTGGTTTCTCTCCTCCTAGCCTGGCTCTCTGGCCTCACCTTCGTTTAAGTAGAAGTTTAGTCCATCAGCCATGACTCCATCCCCTGTCACCAATTCACCACTCTCAGCTCATAAAGGGCCAGTTTTCTTTTACTTTCTGTCTACTTGGAAAATATTTCAAGGACCTTTGATTATGCATTAAAATACTCTTTATAATTCTATGCTCAATATCTCTTTCTGCTCCTCAAATTGTCCCTTTTAACTCACTGCACTTTCAGTATAAATCTCTCAGTCTCTCACTTTTCAGGTTGTTAATAAATATAAGGTCTAAAAAATATGCATAAACATCTATTGTTGGCTAAATAACTCACAGCATAATCAAAAAGCTAGGGGAAAAAGGAAGGCTTGGCGCAACGCACGCCCACCTGCACTCTCACTCAGCCTGTCCTTGCTTGTCTCTTTGAAGAGGATTGCTAGACTCAGGGTAGTTTATGGCTCTAAAAAGTCCATTGGGTGAAGGGACCAAGGATGCCCCAGGGGGGAAAGGGAAAAGAGAGTAACTATAGTGCTGTGTTGACGAGCTTCCTCTGAGAGCGACAAGGGAGGAGTGAGGACAGAGGGGACCACTGTGCAGGGAGCAGTGGCTAATTCGAGCGACATTTCAGTGGGCTGGTCTGCAAGGCCCCTTACCTCCAAAAGAAATGGGTCAGCCTCTTCTAAGATCCGGTACCAGCCTGCACTGATGTGGCCTGCCCCCCATCTCTCTCCTTTCAGCTCTCATCTCTCATTAGAGCCGTTAGTTTCTAAGCACCGGGAGGGTGGGGAAGGCTGTGCCTTTTGTGTCACCGATTTTTGTGTGGCAGCGTGCACACTAATGGCATGCCTGAACAGCAGAATTTGACATTGCTGCTACAAAATGTGCTTGGGTCACAGTGCTTTCCAAATTGGCTGAGGCTCCAAGCCACCCCCTCCTTCACCCAGGCATCTCGGGGTGGGGGGGGCGTGCCAGTGACAGCTTCTGCTGCTCCCCCTCAGTGCCTCAGAAAAGGGAGAGGAAGTGAGAAATGTATTAAACTCTTCAATCTCTGTAAGTACCATTTCCCAGGAGACAAACTCTAAGGAAGAAGGAAATGCAAGTGCTCAGGGCCTAAACAGGTGGGAGGCCTCCAAGGCGACCAGCACCATATTAACCCCCTCCCCCAGCTTCAGGGACCATCAGGGGCAGGACAGTGGTGCACTCTGGATGGCAGCTGACTGGAGACTGAGATGTCCAGCTGGCTGCTCACTGCTCCAAGCAGAGATTCAAGATATAATCACCAAATAAGACTTTCTCAGTGATGAGGAGCCAGCAAGACAAACCCACAAAGGAAGAACTGTGAGGGGCGGGGTTAGTAGTGGACTGGAGGGTCAAAGGAAGGTGGAATCTGAGTGAAATCCCAGAGAACACCCATATAGTGTCATTCAGAGAGAGGAAGCTCATCCCTATAGGGCAGCTACATAGCCAGAGAGCGAGAGGCAGGGAACGATGCAGATAGACAAGAGGGCGCAATAGCGAGAAAGAGCCATTTTGCACACATGTGCACACACATCACTCAAGCACCACTTCCTGACATTGTCCCTTGTGGGGTCAAGTGTGGGACATCCACACAGTCCACAGATTCGATTGCCCACCGTGTGCGTGGCCCTGGCCAGGCCCTAAGATGCCACAGTGAACAAGAGTGCCCATCCGTGAGAAGCGTGCCTTCCAGTCGGGAGCAGCCCCTTTATTTGATTACAAGGGATGTGGTCAGGAGAGGGGCAGTGGGGTGGGACAAGTCCTGCCTTCCTCACATTCTGGTGACCATCCATCAGAGACACCTGTGTGTGATGAGGGGCAGATTCTGGTCTGGGCCCTTGCCATGGCATTTCCCCCTAAGCTTTGACCCTGAAAGCGTTTGTCCAGCTCCCAGTGCAGTGGAGGCTCCAAGAGGCCTCGAGCCCTTAATCTCCCAACACTATGCCTGTTGGGCATGTGCCTCTTAGCTCTGAGCTCTGGGCCAGCTGGGCCACATTGTCATTCTCCCCTACAACTCCTCTGTGCTCTGGGTCACAGGGGTCTCTGAAGTGTTTTTATTCTTTATCCCAGTGTCTGAGCCTCAGAGGCCCTGAGGTCCCTGACTCCCTGTCTTGCCTGCTACCCAGAGAGTCTCTCACTGTTTTATCTGTGGCATTTAAAGTGCCATCAGGCGTCTGGCACTTTGCAAGTCTAAGGTGCAGGCTTTTCTGAATTACCACAGCAGCCCCCTTTCCAAGA